GGTCGTGATCCTGGAGTCCCGGGATCGAGTCCCGCATCGGGCTCCCTGCTCGGCGGGGGGTCTGCTTCTCCCTCTGACCCTCCTCCCTCTCATGCGCTCTCTCTCTCAAATAAATAAATAAAAAAAAATCTTAAAAAAAAAGATGGTCTTACATTTATAAATGCCTGGGTTCACTGTTTTCTCCTTTCCTTTGCAGCCATATAAATAAAAGAACCACTTATTTGGACCCGAGACTGGCATTTACGGTGGATGATAACCCTACGAAGCCGACCAGCAGGCAGAGGTACGACGGCAATACCACCGGCATGGAGATCCTCCAGGGCCGGGACTTCACCGGCAAAGTGGTCGTGGTTACTGGAGCTAATTCAGGAATAGGTAGGCCGTCCTTTACAGTCGTTGTGATTTTTTGTCCCTGCTATAATGAAATCCACTTGAATTTGAACTACAATGAAATCTTTTAGAATGATTCTCTAATATAAAAATGTATTTATAGCCTTCCCTGCTGTCGTTTTGTTAAGACCCTGGCCTCTTTTTAAATCCCACTGTTCTCATGGAAGGCCGTGGAAGGGCTGACCTTGAATTCTCTGAGAGCTGAGCACTCAGCAAAAGACTGTGGCCATTCTGGTGTTCAAGGATTAGAGACAAACAGGTTCCGTTTGAGGGTTTCCGGCCTGGTCTGTGTGGTGTCTGGACACATTTCAATGACTTGGGTTGTTGAAACCAAAATTGACTGGTAATGGAATAGCAGGAGCAACAACCTATCATGACTTTGGAACAAAGGGTACTGCAGGTTTCACCTGGTCAATGAGAGTATCATTTTCCTTTGGAAACAGGATCTTGTTTCTCTGTAAAGTTGGAGAACTAGTCCTTGTCTTAACCTCTGGATTGACCGTCTTAACCGCCAGTGTTTAACTGCAGTGACTGGCACAGGTAGATGGCTCCAGAGGCCGCCCTTCCTTTAGCAAACAGGGCTGCTAAAAGGGACAGTGGCAGAGCAGATGGTTGTACGAGAGCTTTCTGCGGGATTTTACT